AGATCCTGATCGTTTTTAAATTTTTGTTTTAAAAAATGTTTATTACATGGGGGGGTGTTATATGAGTGGGCACGCATTTGGAAGTCAGAGAATAACTCTCCAGAGCGGGTTCCTGCCTTCCACCATATGGGTCCTGGGATAGATAGGTTGTCAGGTTCAGCGGCAGGCACCGACACCTACTGAGCCATCTCGTCTGGTCGTCTCGTCGTCGTCGTCCCGCCCCCCGCTTTTTTTTTCCTCCCCCTTTGGACATGGGCTCATTCATCCCTGCCTGGTCTCGACCTCACTGCTATGTAGCCCAGGCTGGCCTGGAACTCGTAACCCTTTCGCCTCTGCCTCCCAATGTGTGGACCACCTTGCCAGCTCCTAATCACTATATTAAACCCTCAAATTCTACCCCCACCCCCAGCGCCGGGGTCACCACCCACGGGGAGGGGCCCGGTGAGTCACGCCCCTGCAGAGTAGCTGCCGGGCCTACACATTCTAGAGTGGAAGTGGGAGCACACCAGAGTACACGCCCACTAAAGCCTACTCACCCTTTTCCCATTTGATTAATTAATTCATTTTCAGCGGCTGTGGCTACTAACTAGAAATAACTGCCCCGATTGGAAGAACCCTAAATTTCATGCACCTGCCGAGCTTCCTTCAGGTTCTCTAATCTTTTCCAGCAGCCTGACCAGGTACTTGCTGAGTTTACAGGATGGGAATGAGGCTCCCTAAAAGAGGACAGTGGTCTGACCTAGGCCCCATGCCCCGGTGCGATGCAATCTTTACATGACTATTGTCATGCCTTTAGCTGAAGTATTCCCAAGCATGATGCTTGATTAATTGGGAGCTGTGCCTGTAGTTTAGTTGATAGAGTGCTTGCCTAGCATGAATGAAGCCATGGTTCCATTTTCAGCATTCCATAAATCAGGTGTGGTAGTGCAAGTCTGTAATCCCAGCACTCGGGAGATGACTGAAGAGGATCAGAAGTTCAGTGACATCCTCTGCTACACAGCAAGTTCAAAGCCAGCCAGAGCTACATGAGACTGGGTGTCAAGAAGGCCATGTCTCCAATACCAAACAAACAAAAATGGGAATATTGGAACACTTAGAATCCTTCCCATTTGTTGCCTGTGTTGTTTCTAGGGTCTTGCTTTGGTAACACTTCCCACTTCCTGTCCTTTTTTTATGTGTCTGTGCTTTGGCCCATGTTTGGGATAACTACAACTTCTCAGAGATTCATTTTGTATTTATTTATTTCAAACTTGTAATACTCCTGTAATCCACCCAAAATGGGATTATAAGCCTGTACTGCTACACTTTAATTACTTTTATTTTAGCAAATTAACAGCGGGAGCTTCTCTGCTAGGACCTGTGACATCCCTAGCCATGGCTCTGATCCAGTTTATGGTACCAGTGAGGAGTCCTTCCCCTGGGGCAGAGCCCATGGGAGAGTGACTGGTTACCCCTGTAACAGACTTGCCACTATTGTACCACTGAACATATCTTGCCTAGCCTGGTCCCGGTGCTGTGTGCACACGGGATCCACATCCCCCTATAACATGTTGAGTTCTTCCAAGCCTACTCCAATTTCCCTCTTTGTTTTGTGCCCATCATGTCTCCCGCACATCTCATGAGAACTGAGAGGCCTTGACCAGTAAACATTAGAAAGGACATCAAGGCTAGGCAGTGGTGGCATACTCAGGAGGCAGAGTCAGGCAAATCTCTGAGTTTAAGGCCAGCCTGGTCTACACAGAAAGTTCCAAGACACCCAGGGCTACACAAAGAAACCCTATCTTGAAAAGGGGAAGGGCATCAAGGAGACGAATGAAGTTTTGTGTGTGTGCCTGTGTATCTGGTGGCAATCTGGAGGAGAAATGGGAGTTCAGAGCCATCCTGGGTTGTGATTCTGTTGCAAAAGAAACCCAATGAGACTGGATGTGTGACTCAGCTGGTAGAGCACTCACCTAGCATGCTGAAGCCCTGGGGATCCATCACCAACAGTGCATCAACCAGTCAAGGTAGCTCAAGCCTATAATCCCAGCACTCTGGGATTACAGAGGTGGAGGCAGGAGGATCAAAACTTCAAGGCCATCCCTGGCTAAACAGCAAGATCAAAGCCAGCCTGAGCTACTTGAGACTAGGTTTCAACAACAAAAGAATTTGGCTGATGGAACATGGCTGGGGGCTTTGGAAGAGGCAGGGCTGACGCTCGGGAAGAGTGGCAGGATAGAGTCCAAAGGCTTGAGCAGAGTTGTCCCTCTCCAGGGGAGCCCGGGATTCAGCACCAATCCTTATCATCAGGAGAAGTGGGTTGCTTCACTGTGACCTCCCAGGTGGTGACTCTGCTTCATTAAAGAAATCTGTATTCATTATTGTTGTGTGAATGATGGTGGGGTGCAGGCCCTATGGTATATGTATGTCGGTAAAGCTCAAAGGACTAGTGCCTGAACACTGCTTTCCTTCTACCTTTATGTGGGTTCTGGGGACTAAACTCAGGCTACCAGGCTTGCTTAGCAAATGTCGTTACCCACTGAGCCATCCCGCCTACTTAGGACACTCCTTGATGTCCCTACTTTGCAGAAAGCTGGAGAGCAGCATTGGTGCCCCCCCAAGTCCTTCCTATCAAACTCCATATACATTGGTAGACTTCAATTTAAGGTCAGTTTTCTTTTCTCATGGGCCCATGTTTGCTGATCAAACCCCACAGTAAACCATGGCCTCCATTTCATGAATGCTGGAGTTAGGGGCTTTGGGACATCCCAGTATAGCCCTTTAGAATGCCACTGACCAACAAAACCCTCATACAGCAGCCTGTGAGCGTGCACCTGCAAGTCCACATCCCACATTCACACCTGAGGGGACAACAATGTTGCTGAATGGGACACAAAACCGCAGTCAGGCAGGGAGCTGGAGAGTGAAATGGAAACTGCAGTGGAGTGAGGGGATAGAGATGGCACACAAGGACGAAATGAGCCTGTGTGTCCCGGGGATCTGGGGATCAATATCTAGCTTGGAAGACATGGGGAGTGACCCTAGGGACCAGAACAAGAACCTCCCAGCAGGGCAAGAGCTTTCCAAAAAGCACAAGGTACAATCCCAAATGGTGAGCAGCAGGCGGTTCCAAGCTATGATACTAAGTCACTTGAGGTGACCTGAAAGAATCCCCAAGAGACAAGGCCCTCCCAGTTCCCTGAAGTGGACACAAAGACACTGGAGGGCAGAAAGTGCTTGAAGGGTCTGACTGCAGAACTGCACTGGTTTGGGTTGGCTGGCTGGCTTTGTTTTGGAGACAGGGTTTCTCTATGTAACAGTTCTGGCTGTCCCGGGACTCACTCTGTAGACCAGGCTGGCCTTGAACTCACAGAAATCCCCTGCCTCTGCCTCCCAAATTCTGGGATTGAAAGCGTGTGCCAATACCACCCAGCAAGTAGATGGGTTTAAACAGGGGTGAGCATCAGATCTGCATATTGGAAGATGACCAACCATTGTCTACATCCATAACCATACTGAAGTCACCCAATCTCTGAAGCTAAGCAGAATCAAGCCTGGTAATAAAAGGATGAGAAAATGACAGGCAACAACAAAGGTCAGGGAGAAACTGAGACCAAAGGAAAATGGGAGATTCCTATTAAAACTGGCTGACCTTCCCACAGATGGAAACACACACCTGTAATCCTGGCACTCAGGAGGCTAAGGCTGGAGGATCTAGAATTCCAGGCCAGCAAAACCCCACCTCAAACAAAAAGACTTGGCAACTTCCTAGGAGGAGAGTCACCAAACTGGTGACAGGATGCTCATGATTGTGGCTCCTATGGTGGAAGACAGAGGGCTGGCACCTGACTGCAGAAGTGAAGCTGTGCTGGGGTTAGAGCCAGACAGGCCCAGTCTTCTACATGTGTGAACTTGAGCTGAGCCCAGTAGGTGACACCTAATAAAAGCTAGAAGGGTCTGAGCAGGCCTTGGGAACATCCTACTTTTATGGCATTTTGTTTTGTTTTGACCTAGATTATGTATTTATGTGTATGAGCCAAAAGAGTGTTAGGTCCCCGGGAACTGGAATTATAGATGTTTGTAAGCCACCATGTGGGTGCCGGGAATTGGACCCAAGTCTTCGGCAAGAGCAACAAGTGCTCTTAACCAGTAGAATCATCTCTCCAGCCGCTGGGGGGATAGTA